ACAGCATCAGGAAGCCGGGAAACCCAGTCTTACTACCCTGAAATTTTGGACTGTCCTGTGACGTCATCTTGTATAGGATATTAATAAAGCTCCTATTAGTGTGGTGAAAATAAATATGTTGGTCCGTTTTCACGACATTGCGGGATCTGGTATTCAGTTTTGAACATTAACGCTTATATCCATTCGCCTGTCTTTATGTCTACAATTTGTCTTCTTCTAAATTTACCGATAAAAGTGCTGTTGGCACATTGTGTTGTTGTTTACAGATATACTGCGATATCTGCATCTTGCGGTCCGATACATCCCATTTGAGCTAACCCCAATTCGTGATATTGTGTGTGTGTTTTTTAAACTACGTAAACGTAAAGGTAAAAGTAAAGGTAAAGTCGGGAGATGTGAACCAGCGTCATTGCACACGGTTATAAAGAATAAGTGCTCTGCCACCAGTACGGACAGCTGACAAGAACTGTCCGCCTGTGTCGCCGTTCGCACGTAACTCTTTAGCTACAGCGACGTTCCTCCGTTTGCCCCAGAATGTCAACTCTGGTACCCATTTCCTAGAGGCTTGGTGAACCCCGGAAACCGCCCGGTTTCGAACACCGACCGTGGGCTGCAGCGAGTCGCAGCTGGATTTGAAAGCAAGCCTCTTATCGAGTGCGCTAACGCGGCCTAAACTACGTGCTTGCTTGAACAGTTCCCCCTGTGGGTTCTAGGGTCCCATTGTGGGGAAAACAAGAATAGACTCACGGCCTCCCCAACAAGCATGTCGACTAATTGGAGGCTTCCTTCGAAGTCCTTGGGTATGTGCCCGAGCGGCAAGGAACAATCAGATATACTCACAAATTAAGTCGGTAAAACGGATGTACACGCAAAACTCAGGTCATGGCACAAAACCAACGTTTAAGTGGACAAACAACAGGACTTTCCGCCGGAGCTTACAACCAGTGAACAAAGAAGAAGAAGTTTGAGCAATGAGTCTTCGACCGCCCCATATGGGCTCCTGTTCAACACACGGGGCCGGAAGGAGGGGGGGGGGGGTGTCTTTAAGTAAAGCCTTTAGTTCTTCTCAGTTATCAGTCAACTGGTCAGCAAGTCAACAGATCCATCAAAATATAAATAAAAGCAAGAAGCACAGAAAAAAGTGTCATTTTAACTTGAGGTTTCCATCCATCAACCCCGCCCCCCCCACCCCGCCCGGGCCACCCCTTTTCTGCTCCCTCCTCCTCTTGTCTGTAAAAGTTTCATTGGCTCTATTCTCCTGACGCCCGCAGACTACTCCTTGGTACGTGCTCACGCGCACAATCGCCACATGGCACGTGTTCATTTCGCGGTCTCTGCATAGCCTGGTCATTGTGTTCTGTCGCTGTCGGCGGCTCATTCTCGGGACCCCATTTGTCATCTGCGGAGATACAGCTCTGCTTACACTAGAAGGGGGACCCCCCCCCCCCCCCCCCCAACCAATCCCTATTCACAAACACCAGTTCATTCATACAAACCCATGTATTCTGCGCCGCTTAGGTTGTTGCTCAACCCTTTATCAACACCCGAGGACCACCGGAACAGTGGAAGTCCCGACCAGCTGACAGCTAACTAAACCCTTCAACATCAACAATTGTAGATAGTAGTTTGTTTCTTTAATCTGATGTCACAAAATTACAATTTTCTTCAGATGCGACATTTGCTACTGCTTAAAGGCTAACAAAGTTGTAATTTATGGCTGGAGCGTTGTTTCTGATATACCAAACACCACATTAACTTGCATTGGATTTCTCCGTTTGTTTTAGTGTTTTCAAAAAAAAAAAAAAAAAAAAAATGAAGTCTATGAAGTGTTAATCTTACAGATAAGAAAAGAAAAACCCTACTTGATTGCATGATTAAGTAGAATTCTTGTTGGCTACCTACAGGGAATTTTACGTGGACCGCCAGTGGGCCGTGGTCAACGGGCTGAAGAACACTGGACTGCAGTTTACCACTGTTGACTTTAGAAGTATTACAGGACGAGATCCCAGTCTCTGCCATGGCGCTACTATTGTTAGAAAACCATGAGATGGTTGTGTGTTTCAACCCTCCACCACGGGGAACGAACCCTAGTGCGCTGTGATCATGAAACTCATGACTTCTCAGGAGATGTTAGCTGTTTTTGTGGGAGAATTGTTGTCGTTTGTTGCTGGCGTAAACCCCGTCGAAAAGACCTGGTTGATAATCCATTGTTGGACCTTATCTTTGTTCCGGGACCTGAGTTTTGCGTGTGCATCCGTTCTACAGAGATTGTTTATAGACTGTTGGTTTCCTTGCCTCTCAGGCGTACGTACTCCGACTTTAAAGGAAGCCCCCCAGTTAGTCGACTCTTACGGTATGCATGATAGGGATGCAGTGGGTCTATTCTCTTGTCCCCACAATGAGGCCCCGGAACCCATACAAGGTTGTGGGGAAATTGAACCTTTGTATTCTGTGGTATATACTGTAATCGACCACTATAAAATTGGGAGGAATGACCCCTGACCCCTATGTGGGGTTACATAAACCCCTCTTTTGTGTGGAAAAAGAAAGGGTTGGGGGGGGGGGAGGGGGTATAGTCTTTACTGACATCCCACCCAGTCAGTAAACATGTCGTCAAAGTGACTTAGTAAGGTTTGCTCAGATCTCACAGCAATGTTTGCCTGTTGTAAGTTTGAACAAAGAAGACACAAACAACACATTGCACAGTTCAGTGCCTGGAACATTTTTCATGACCGAGATGTCACCCATCTAGTGCCGTGTCCCCGACAAAACTATAAGTCCAGTGCTGTTAGGGTAACAGTAAAGTATAATCAAACGAGCTATTGTTTTTAGACCGTCGGTGCCTGTTCTACAGTGAGCGGAGCAGACTACAAGACTATTTGAACACGCAGAAGATATACAATAAACGTAAATACTTTAACTTAGTCTTAGTCGAGAGGTTTCAGCATCACCGCAATCGGGTTTGCACATACTTGCTCTGTTCCTATGCCAGTGCTAATCAAATGAAATGTAACACACTGTCGTGTTAAAAAAAAAAAAAAACTGGTACACAAACCATTAGTCCCGGAATACACCATAAATGTGTGCACGCAGTAAATGCGTATTGCAGTTGCTTGAGGCGCCAAAGCCAACAATCGTCACCAGAAATTCAGTTTGTCGTTGATGAAAGTACGCGGGCACGATAAGTTGGTTATAACACACACGTGGAATTATGAAATAAGATACTTCACAAACTCACACTTAAACCGGCTACCTGCCGTACTGAATGCAACACAACAAATGAAATGCATTCCACGGGAAAAACACAACTCACAGAGCTGTAACCAAGTACTAAACTTAGTAGCCCATTCAGCGAAACCGTAGACTACCGTCCTTATGTGAAACTGCATTAGCAAAGCGCTGTCTGATGACAGGAGAATAGACAGGGAAATAGAAACAAGATGCCAATAAGCCAGAGCACTAATATACCAACTGACACCGTTATTAAGATATCCAAGCATAAGTATACGCGCCAAGAGACAGATTATAAACAGCACGTTCATACGAGCACTGTGCTACCAGTGCCGGGGTTGGACATTATCAAAAGCTAACCCACACATAATTAGCACCTGTGGGAACGTCGGCACGCAACAAATTCATTAGGAAACAGAAGATCAAATGGTTTGGTCATCTAGTAAGAATGCAAGCAGAATAACAACTAACGCAGGCGCTACACATGAAAAGATCTAGGTGAAAGTAAGAGGTCGCCCAATGAGAACATCGATTGATGACATTAAAGAGCTTCTACACCGACACGGAATGACAAAAGCCATTGCTGCCGATCAAGCAGGTTTAGGTTTTAAACAACGGATCAGTATCATGGTACAAGGGTAGTAACCTATAGGTGCTCCGTTCTACTTCTAACTCAAGTTTGAGTCAGAAGAATCTCAGCATAGTGCACGAACTCCGTAACACCGGCAAGGATCTTGAAATACTTTGGGCAGATTTTTAACTCTGGATTTTGCCCTGTCAGCACTGTTAGGCTACTCTTTTCGATTTCCAACTGCCAAGGGAGTTTGTTTTTAAACGTGCTCAATAATACACGCGGGCGTCCGATCTTACTACCCAGAGAACAGGGAAAAATTACTAGAAGTCCACTGTAAAAAATCCTAGCCTTCACCGGGACCTGAACTGGGGACCTTCAGAACTCGAGGCGGACGCCATGTCTCAAAACCACGCAGCCGATCAAGCAATGGATCTCAAACTGTTCCTGTCCATTTTGCTTCACGTCAAAAGTGGAAATTGATGATGATGATGATGATGATGATATTATCTTAAGCTGAAGTAACGGAATATACCATGAAAGTCATTTATCTCTCTCTCTCTCTCCCGCCCCTCCCCCTCCCCATTTATTTTCCTTTCTTACTCTTAAAATAAAAAATAGAATTATAGATTTGATAATAATTATTATTATGAATCATTAAGGAACTAATACATTTTAAGAACATGAGAAATAGCTAGACCTAGAAATTGTAGAAGCCAAACTAAATAAGGTCTACAGATGTAGCTACAAGTGTATGTTCTATTGTCGAGCTTATTCCTAGAGTTTTGTAGAAGATGACAACTGCACCACAGAGAGACTTGTCAGTTAGACATAATGGAAGCAGAGCTAGAGATCAAGTACGCTAACGATGGATAGATGGAATATTCTATGCCGGGAATAGCAGCATTTATTAGCACACACTGAGTCTGGCACCAGATACCTCTGCAAGACCTGAATTGACATGCAAAACAAGGTTTAGACGAAAGAAACAAAGAAACAAAGAAAGAAACATAGAAAGAAAGAAACAAAGTACCATACATTGATTTCATAAAGACAGAGAGACGGGTATGATAAGTCCTATTTATCGTACTTCGTGTTTGCTTTATATTCCCATAACACAAGTGTTAGTCTTCTCCCACCTTTTCTTTATCCCAACCACATAAGTCTTATTTCATGTTTGCTGTATTCTTTCAGCAGTATGTCGTCGAAAAGAAAAAACACGCCAACAAAGCTGTCCAAAGAAGACCAGGCCAGCGACAAGTCCGCACCCAGCACGGGCAACTGCGACCTGGACGTCGACGCCAGCTCCGAGAAATCTGCAAGCTGCTGTAGCAGTATTGGGATCAGCGAGGACACCGAAGACATCACGGTGGCCGAGAGTGAGGAGGGAGATGACGACAGCTATCTCGACAGGCAGCTGGAACTTGCTTGCTCTACTAGCCATGGCCTGAAACGTAGCGGTCATTGTCAGTCCGCTTCGGAATCAGACGTTGATGACAATTGTTCTTCTCCTTATGTTGCAACTAAGACTCTGACACTGAATCCAAACTCCACACTTGGGAGTATATCAGGGTCGCTGTCTGCTGCCTTTGGTGAACATCCTTGCAAACGATCAATGGAGTCGGTGCTGCGGCGGCTGAACTCCAGGGTCAATGACGTTTCTATGGAGATGGCCTTCAGCGTCGATGACTTTGACGACAGTCCCAAGGTGATGAGTGCCGTCCACGCCGTGCTGGCAGGAGATGGAACTCTGATCGAGAAGGAGCGCCAAATTAGCGAGATCATCAGCCATCTTCAGAATATTCGCGAGAATCTCAGCAAGCAGAAACACCAGGTAAAGGGCGGATTTTATGTTTGTCTATTTGTAGAGGTTAAATCATCGTCATCATTATCACCATCACCGTCGTCGTCTTTGTCGTCATCTGCGTGTTTACATTTCCGATCCTTATCTTATAGTCAGAACCACTTCATGATTACTGCGATCACTATCACCCTCTCCAATCATCATCATCATCACTAGTTCACGTAAACTCATAACACCCCCCCCCCCTTTTTTTTTCCAATCCCACATCCTCTTCCTACTCTATTTTGTACCTCTTCTTCTTCTACTTCTTCTTCTTCTTCTTCTTCTTCTTCTTCTTCTTCTTCTTCTTCTTCTTCTTCTTCTTCTTCTTCTTCTTCTTCTTCTTCTTCTTCTTCTTCTTCTTCTTCTTCTCCTTCTTCTTCTTCTTCTTCTTCTTCTTCTTCTTCTTCTTCTTCTTCTTCTTTTTCTTCTTCTTCTTCTTCTTCTTCTTCTTCTTCTTCTTCTTCTTCTTCCTCTTTTTCTTCTTCTTCTTCTTCCTCTTCTTCTTCTACTTCTTCTTCTTCTTCTTTCTTCTTCTTCTTCTCTTCTTCTTCTTCTTCTTCCTTCTTTCTTCTTCTTCTCTCTTCTTCTTCTTCTTCATCTTCTTCTTCTTCTTCTTCTTCTTCTTCTTCTTCTTCTTCTTCTTCTTCTTCTTCTTCTTCTTCTTCTTCTTCTTCTTCTTCTTTTTCTTCTTCTTCTTCTTCTTCTTCTTCTTCTTCTTCTTCTTCTTCTTCTTCTTCTTCTTCTTCTTCTTCTTCTTCTTCTTCTTCTTCTTCTTCTTCTTCTTTTTCTTCTTCTTCTGCCCCTCTTCCTGCTTCTCGCCTTCCTTTTCTTTTTCTTCTCCGTTGTACTCTCTCCTCAATTTTCTCCCTCGTCCTCTCTTTCTTCGTCTCTCAATCCCCTATTCTTTTTTCTCCGCCTCCTGAACACCCTAACAATGTGCTAGAGCACTATAAAACTCTGCAAAAACAACTATAATGAAATGAATATGAGTGAACCTCAGATTCTATAAACTCAGAAATGTGAAGCCGAGCACTACCCGGACACGGATGCACACTTGGGCACAGTAAAAACATGGATGAATCTGCCAAACACACACGGGCACAATAAAACACCATCTATCAATAACTTGAAGTCAGTCCTATTTTGGTTCTGTGCAATTTCCCCGCCGTGCACGCCAGATCTGTCTATGAACTGCGCTACTACCACTATTGAAGCTTTATGCTCTGACCACGCAAGACTGGGGGATTGTTCATTTTTATGGTGGTGAGCTTGCATAGTTTGCAAATCGCTTAACCAGTTGTGTCCGTTCTCGAAGTCCCTTTACTATATCACTAAGAAAACACCCATTGTTCTGAGCCCTAGGGACCTTGTTGCGTGAACGAAGGAAAGGGGGAGGGGGGATTAGAAACAGACGAAAATACACTGAAACTCCAGTATTTGTACCAAGCATCCTCCTGTTTTGTCCTTGTACAAAGCCACGTTCTGTTGTACCCCTTGTACTGAGTTATGTTCTGTTGTACTTTTATACCAAGCCACGCCTTTTTGTACCATTTGTGCCAAGCCATGTCCCTGTTGTACTCCTTGTACCAAGCCACGACATGTTGTACCCATTGTACTAAGCCACTCCCTGTTGTATAGCTTGCACCAAGCCACGCTCTTTTGTACTCCTTGTACCAAGCCACGCCCTGTTGTACCGTTGTACCAACCCGTGCCCCTTTGTACTCTGTACAAAGCCACGCCCTGATTGTACTTCTCGTACCAAGCCACGTCATGTTGTATGCCTTGTACCAAGCCACGTTCTGTTGTATCCCTTGTACCAAGCCACGTTCTGTTGTACCCCCTGTACCAAGCCATGTTCTGTTGTACCCCCTGTACCAAGCCATGTTCTGTTGTACCCCTTGTACCAAGCCACGTTCTGTTGTACCCCTTGTACCAAGCCACGTTCTGTTGTACCCCTTGTACCAAGCCACGTTCTGTAGTACCCCTTGTACCAAGCCACACCGTGTTGTACCCCTTGTACTAAGCCACGTCCTGTGGTATCCCTTGTACCAAGCCACGTTCTGTTGTACCCCTTGTACCAAGCCACGTTCTGTTGTATCCCTTGTACCAAGCCACGTTCTGTTGTACCCCTTGTACCAAGCCACGTTCTGTTGTATCCCTTGTAGGGCCCCCCTGTTGTACCAAGCCATGTGGTACCCCTTTGTACCAAGCCACGTCATGTTGTATCCCTTGTACCAAGCCACGCCCTGTTGTACCCCTTGTACCAAGCCATGTTCTGTTGTATCCCTTGTACCAAGCCATGTTCTGTTGTATCCCTTGTACCAAGCCACGCCCTGTTGTACCCCTTGTACCAAGCAGAGAGTGAAGTTAAACAGAGTACCCCCTGCCTGTCGGGAATGTTATCTGAAAGCGGAGTACATTTTTGTTGACAAATCTTGTCTTTGAAACGTTTAAAACGTTCTGTCAACACATGCCGACCTCGCGGGCTTCCACCTCGCGATAAGCCACAAAACATCCTGTCACAGACTTGTGCTAGAGGCGGCCGCCGCTCACAACCGCCATTGTGCTGGCAGCCCCATGGTATGTGCCTTCCAGATGGGACCTGGTTTCTGGCACCGACACAAACGTATGCCGGGACCTATCAGAAGTAACGGACACGTCAGCGGTGACACAGACCAGAGCCACGCGCCGACTGGGACATATCTCCACGCCAACTGAATGCTATCTATCAATATATCAACTAGTCCAGTATATATCAACACTTGATTAGTGCTGCCGCCTTCTTTGTGGCATTAGGGGGAATGACTTTTAGAGTTTAGAGATTTGTAACTTGAGGAATTTGTCAAAGAAAGAAAGGAGAGAGTGGGAATCACTATATAACTTTCGGTAACAGAAGATTTAGTGCAGTGGTCACAAACCTTTTTCATGTGGCGTCTTCCTCGAGTATAGGGAAAGATACCCCCCACCCTTCCCCAAGTTAACACAATTTGGTTAAAAGGAGGAGGGAAACAGGAAAGATCCCAAGCGCTGCTAACAAGAACTTGAAAACATCCACATAAAACAAAGTGTCAAAGAACAACAGAAATGAATCACCAGACTTATTATTTTGTGTGCATATATCTATGTGACAGTCGACACTGTTCAATCCTGATAATATCTACAGTTTTTCGTCGGATTTTGGACCAGGGCACAGCTGAAATCACTTTCCACACCAAGCTAGCATCGCTGTTTTTATTGTCATGACGGTGTAAACCGGAGTTCCCAAACGTGAAGCCCACACCCGACAGTGGAGCAATTTGATAGTTTAAAAAAAAAGGAAAAGGGGGGGGGGGGGGGGAGGGGTGTTTAAACATGGATTCATCCAGAGTTTAAGGTATTATGTATATGTTACATAGGGGACATTTCCCTTTTCACGCCTTAGGTGCGTCGGGCATATGGGAAGAGCGTCCCATATTTTTACAGAAAAATCGGCACTGGGTGGGTAAGGCGGTCAGCATTACATCGGCCGTCTTTACTTTCCCAGGACAAACATCCTGGTACCCATTTTAGGCTGGGTCGACCTGCAACGCCCCATACCATGATAAAAATTCACGTAGCCAGCAGTGGGTTTCGATCGCGGTGCGTTGGAATTACGAGTCGGACTCGCAACGCCTTAGCCACGGACGCCGCACACAGGGGACCTAAGCAGTTAAAAAGGCTTAGGTGGGGCATGACACACCAAAAAAAAGGGGGGGGGGGGGGGGGGACATCTGGTATAAACTGAAAATCTGGACCTCTACTATTACAAATTCACACAGTTTGAAAATGTTGGACGCTCTCCCCCAGAAAGAATAGACATCATCACGTAGCTTTGTGGTGTGTGTGATCTAGCGGCTAGACACTTGCGAGCGGATCGGAAGGTCGTGGTTCTGGTCCTGACGAAGCTGGACTTTTTTTCCCCCCCAGAAATAACCTTGGCTCCCAGGTCGACCCAGCCTTAAATAAGCACTGTGTAAAGTCCTAGGAAGTAAAGGCGGCCGGTGTGATGATGACCACATCACTCACCGAGTACCGATTGGACGAGGAAATATAGGTCCAGCTTATTTGCCAAATACGCCAAAAGGCATACAAATGGTGCTTCAACTGGCGGAGTAGTATTGGGGAAAGGCAGATATCTTTAATATGTTTTGACCAAATATGAAAGATGGGAGAGCACACAAATATGGTGACGACTGGGAGATCACTGGTAGAAGAGGCTGAGGCAGACCGAGAAGAAAGAAAGAAGGTAGATGGCTTAAGACAGTGGCATGGAGGAATATCATCGGTGAAATGGATACAGCACACCAAAGACTGATATCTGTAGAGATGCGTGAACGCCTACGGCAGCTGGCGCAGCACGGGATGATGATGAAAGAGCACATCCTGCTGTAGAGTGATAGACATCGTCTGTGTGGCTTGGGACGAGTTTAGTGAACAGTTCAAGTCGCAGGGATCGACTTTTTTTTTTAAATACGGGTTTATCTCCTGTGTTTTGGTTTATCTCCACACAGCGGCTAGCCGTCTGCCGAGAGTGTCGCATATAACACGAGCACTGTAGCTCCAACCTCAATCTCCAGGGATCTCTCTAAAACGTGCACTTGGGAGCCGAAGGGCGCCTCTTTGAAACGAACTCACGCTCCTCAACGCGCTAGCCTAACAGCTGCGCCACGAGGACACCCACCTTTCCCTAGAACACTGCAGACGGAGCATGCGAGTCCAGCCACGGGATGAACGTACGCCCAACAGTCTGACGTCACTCTACGCCAGAAGTATTCCATTGGCGGCTCGCAGAGGTCTAGTAGGTGGCCCTCCGATCATTGCCAGTTATATTCTATTATTAAAGGAACCTTTTCCACGCCTTGAAGCGTATTGGGAATATAGGGCAAGACTTATATTTTTTACAGACCAATCGGAACTTGGTGAGTGATGTGGTCAGCATCACACCGGCCGCCTTTACTTCCCAGGACCGCGCCTGGTACCCACTCACGGCTGGGTCGACCTGAGAGTCAAGGTCATTTTTGAAAACAAAAGTGTCCACCAGGACTCGAACCCACGATCTTCCGATCCGCAGGCGGGCGTCTAGCCGCCTACGCCACTGCGACTCTCATACCCTTCTATACTGGGGTTAGGGCCTCTGATCCCATTTTGAAAATGTTGGCGCCTGATTAAACTTAGAAATAGCTCCGCTCTACGTGATCTCTAGCTGTTAAATCTGTGAGTTAAGTAAATAACCCTTGAACCACCATTGGCCTACTGGGTCACGTGATGCTAGCCGTGCATAATTATAAATCAGTGGGAACTTGACGACTGAGATGGTCAAACTCAGGCTGATCACCTTTACTTTCCAGCACATTTCCTAGAAACTATTTTAGGCGCTGTCGATCTGATAACCGATATTATATATATATATATATATGTATATATGTATTTTTTTTAATTACTATTCTTTTTCTTTGTTCGTCGGCTGTAAATCCTGCTGAAAAGGCCTGGTTGTTCTCCATTTGAACTTTGGCTTTGCGCCAGGGTCTGAGTACATCTGTTTTACTGGCTTATTTGTGTGCAGTTGGCTGTTGCTTGCCTCTCAGGCAAATGTGCTGCTACTATGAAGAAAGCTTCAAATTGCCTAACACCTTCGACATGCTTTGTTTGGGAGGCAGTGGACCTGTTCTTGTGTCCCCCCACAATGGTGCCACGGAACACACACACGGGGATACTGTTGAAATGTTCAAAGGCAGGACCTTCGGGATGTCGACCGAGCGAGTAGTCGCTTTGGCTATGAGTCTTCGTTTGCTTCAAGGATCACTTTTATTACACATCGATGTCCCTACCAGAGGCTTAGTCTTTCCGTGGATCATTCTAGCCGAATGAAAGCAAACAGGCAGGTGCCAAAAGGTGTCTATACTAGGGCTGTACCGAATAGTGATTTTCACTATTCGGCCGAATACGAAAACGGGTCCAACTATTCGGCCGAATACGAATACAAATACGAATAGTGAATAGTGTATAAAATATATCCACTCACACACACACACAAAAAACGCACACACACACATCAATATTGTCAAATGTACGCTGATTTTTTACTTCACATAAAGTAGCACAGAATAGTAATCTTTTTCTTTAGCATTCTGAGCCTTTGAGGTTTACTGCTGCAGACTGTTTTTGGAAAACCTGTAATAAGGCCTCATCTTTTTCATTTCTGCTTCAAGTTTCAAAGCCATATAACACGACTGGTCTTATCAACTTTTTATATCTTTTGATCTTGGTGTTGCGAGACAGACAATTGGACTTTAGCAGATGTGGAAGGGCATAGTATACTTTGTTTCTAGATTGTATTCTAGATCGTATTTCTTCGCTCAGCATGTTGGAGCAGTTGAAGTTTGCACCCAAGTACTTGTGTGTTTCCGTTCGTTTGATTTTCACATTATCGACTTGGATGTGGCTGGAGTTTATATTCTTTCCATGTCTTGTTAGTATTCGTACAGAATAATAAACATTTAAAAACATTTTATGTTTTGCATCCTTCAGTCACTCTGTGGTAACTAATAACTAGGAATGAAAGAATCCTAAGTATTATAACAAGTAAATAAACTTGGAAATTGTCACTGACAGCTTAGTTAATGCATGAAAACTGCATTAGCTTTCAACAAAACCAATCGTCCATGTTGTCAGCATTAAGGCCGTGTATACAGAAGCGGGTTTAAGGTAACTCCTATTCGCATTCGGCCCGACCGCAGCTATTCAACCGAATACCGAATAGTAAATAGGTCCACCGAATATTCGGTTCAGCTCTAGTCTATACCAGAACTAAACATGCTGTAGAGGGGCGCCGACGCTAGGAAAACATTGTGTGGAAAAGGTGGCTCTCAGTCATCTAACAATTTTTTTAAAGAATGAGATTGGGGGTGGGGGGAGTGGTCTGTCGGTCAAGGGCTTAGTAGTAATAAACAGCAATAATAATAATGTGCTTAGTGAACAATACAGTAATACATGTGAAGTAATAAGAGATTGAGGTGCCTCCGTCTTGTAGTTAGCGGCTAGACATTCCACTGCTGAATTAAACTTCCTGGGTTCAAATCTTCAAGGAGGTTTACTTATTTTTTTCAAAAATTACCTGGGCTCCCAGGTTGACCTAGCCTCAAATGGGTACCAGGTAAATTCCTGAGAAGTAAAGGTTGACCCCCATCATCCATCGAGTACCGATTGGTCTGTTAAATATAAGTGTAGCCCAATATTCACAGCGTGGAAAAAGGATTCTTTGCTCCTTTCAATATGAGATTAATCAGCATTTACCTGGAAAGAGAACTTTTGGATACGTTGACTGCTTCGCTTCCTGACATATTTTATGGTTCTGTGTTTTTCTGACTTTCAGCATGTGTTTTGGTGTGGGGGGAAAGGGCGTCTCAGCTTCCCTGATTGCTTTCGGGAGGGATTGCGGAGGTTCTTAAGGCCCCCCCCCCCCCCAAGTTCCATCGCCCCTGCCTACACATACACACACGCACGCACGCGCGCGCGCAGACACACACACAAGAGGCTGTCAAATAAAGTACAACACGTTATGACAGTCGACTGTAAGCATCTCTAATAGCCTGCTGCTACCGCACAGGGCCCTGATATGCCACTTTGCAATGAATGCTGGCAATGCCAGATACGCGTCAACGCGGCAGTCTAAACCTGGCCCTATATGCCGGGCGGCATTAAAGTAACGACTCTGCTTAGATATGGCAGTTACAACCCTGCAGAGAATGTTCATTCTGTAAGGAATATGTTCATTCTCTAACGGTTTGTGTTTTTTAGGAGGTTTGTTCACGTTGGTTTTTTTTTTCCTTCAAAACAAGGGGAGATAAGCAGATTATTTCCAAACTGTTGCTGGCTGTTGGACCTCTGAACATTTGCCACACACGAGCCTGGTACAGAGCGGTACAGGTATACACAATACGTCCATGATCTATCTACTCGCATGTCTGCCGGCATACATGAGGTCTCTCCTGCCTGCCCACCCACCTACTGACCTACCAGCCTGCCAGCATACCATGCCTGAATGCCTGCCTACCCACCTACTGACCTACCAGCCTGCCAGCATACCATGCCTGAATGCCTGCCTACCCACCTACTGACCTACCAGCCTGCCAGCATACCATACCTGAATGCCCGCCTACCCTGCATAAGTATCTGCCTAGTCTATCTACCTGCATGCATACCTTGCCTAGCTGTCTACCTGCCTGCCTTCCTACCTTGCGTATCTACCTATCTATCGGCCTGCCTACCTACTCTGCATATGTCTACATACCCTGCCTGTCTGCCTGCCTACTATGCCTTTCTATCTGCCTACCTACTCTGCATATGTCTACATACCCTGCCTGTCTGCCTGCCTACTATGCCTCTCTATCTGCCTGCCTACTACGCCTCTCTATCTGCCTGCCTACTACGCCTCTCTAACTGCCTGCCTACTATGCCTTTCTATCTGCCTGCCTACTATGCCTTTCTATCTGCCTGTCTACTATGCCTTTCTATCTGCCTGCCTACTTTGCCTTTCTATCTGCCTGCCTACTATGCCTTTCTATCTGCCTGCCTACTTTGCCTCTCTATCTGCCTGCCTACTATGCCTCTCTATCTGCCTGCCTACTATGCCTTTCTATCTGCCTGCCTACTATGCCTTTCTATCTGCCTGTCTACTATGCCTTTCTGTCTGCCTGTCTGCTTTGCTACACTGCTAGGTTCCCCTCTGTCAGTCAGTCAGCTGAATGTCGCTTGTACAACCTTGCTCTCATAACAACCCTCCGGAAAACTTCTCGATCACAAGCAAGATGTCCCGTGTCCGATACACCCATCTAGAGATAATCCGCCACATCCTGCACCCATCTTCTCTTTGGCCTTCCTCTTCCTCTCTTCCCAGGCATATACATCTTCATTATTGATCAGAGGTTCCCCTTTGCTCACTCAGAACGCAGTTTTCTGAGAAGTAAAACTGGTGGGCTATTGAGCATATTCTGCGAGTTCTGTCTGCTGGATACAGATATGGATTGAAGAGCACCATGTAGCCAGTAAGTTCCATGTATATGTGTGTCCCAGCTGTTTACCTGCTGAAACAGCCCAGTTGATTATCTTTATGTCTCCCTCACAGAGTGTACATAGACACACCGACGACTCCAGACTTGCCACAGCAGCAGTAGCCGCCGCCGGTAAGTCACGATTCTGTGTGTGTCTCTTGTGTGTGCTGTGTTGGTGGCTTGTCTGTTGTTCTCTATGTTTGTTTATCTCCATGGTGTAGATTCCTTTATTTGTCCGCTGCTTTCGTGTTGTTATGTGTTTGTGTTGTTTGGTTGTCCGCAGTATACATGTGTGTGTAATGTGTGTGTGTGTGTATGTGTGTGTGTATGTGTGGTGTATGTGTATATGTATGTTTGTGTTTTGTGTGTATGTTGTGTGTGTATGTGTGTATGTATGTGTATGCGTATATGTTGGGTGTGGGTCCAGCCTTCTCTCTGTCACTCTGTATCACACCAGACACACACACTCCTCTCTCTCTCTCTCTCATCTGTTTTGTCTCGGTGGTGTCGTAATGATGTTTTTATGCCTGTGTACATATGTATGTGTGTCTATGTGGCTGTATGTGTATGTTTGTGTGTATATATAGTGGTAGATATGTAATATGTGTGCTGTGTGTTTCCCTGTGTATATGTATATTATATATATATATATATATATATGCTGTATATCTCCCTGCATATATTTATGTGTGTGTATGTGTGTGTATGTTAATGTATGTGTATGTGTAGGTGTATCTATGTAATGGTGTATGTTTGTGTACGTATGTGTGTGTGTGTATGTGTGTGCGTAGATGTATGGTTGCACTTTTGTGTGTGTTTGGGCCTGAGCCTTGTATCACGCGCGGGGGTTTTCTGTACAACTCTGTCTTTGTGTGTCTCTTACATAATTTGGCATAAACAGGATAATCATAACACACACGACTATCTCTCTGGACTGGAAGAACCGAATGTAAACGGGCCTGCGGTACCCAATTTTGTCTTGAAATCTCTCTCTCGTTCTCTCGTGTTGTTCCTCTCTCTCTCTCGTCTCTTCTCTCACCACACACACACACACACACACCATCACACCTCACACACACGAGACATTGACGTTTTCTCTCTGTCCTTCTGGTTGACAGACTTTAAGATACAGTATGAAAATTTTATTATACTCTCATGTTGACAAGACGCTGTAGAGTACAGCAGTTCTGTAACGCTCTAAAGTTGATAATAAACTATACAATATGAAAGCGATATGCTATGTAGATTTATTCAACACTTACCTTGACAAGAAGCTATAGACTAAGAAAGCTCTGTTACACCCTGGTATTGACAAAAGCGAAATGCTGTTTAGTTTTGTTACACGCTTACATTGACAAGAGTCTGTTTACTATGAACGCTCTGTTTGTTACACTCTAATGTTGACGAGAAGACGATGTGCTAGGTAGTTTTGTTATACTCTTACGTTGACAAGAAGCTACAGACCTTGAAAGCTCTGTTACACTCTAGTGTTGATGAGAAACGACACAGGAGGAATCTTCAACGATACAGTATGCTACACTCTAAATATAACAAGAAGCGATACACTGGAACAGTTCAGTTGTGCGCAAATTCTGAAGACACAGTATGAACGATCTTGTACACTTTATTGTTGAAGATAAACAATACCGTATGAAAGCTTCGGTTTCGAGGTTCAAACAACAGATCAACATCATGGCCAACGAGTAGTAACCCATAAGTGCTCCCCTCTTCTTCTAACTCAAGTCTGAGTCCCGAAGAAGCTCAGCACAGTGCAGCAGGCTCTGTAGCACCGGCGAGGATCCTGAAATACTTTGGGAAGATTTTTAACTCCAAATTTTGCCCCGGCAACGCCGCTAGGCTACTTTTTTCGATTTCCAACTACCAAAGGGTTTTTTACGTGCGCAGCAATGTACACGGGCGTCCGATCTCATTACCCAGAAGACAGGGGGAATTACTAGAAGTCCAAGTCCACGTGAAAAAACCGCAGCCCTTACCGGGGATTGAACTCGGAACCTCTAGCACTCGAGGCGGACACCATGCCTCGAGACCACGCAGCCCCCTCGGTACACTGTATCATGTTGACAAAAAAACAAAACAGTGTTTTACCGCAATACTGTTACATTACTGCATGGCAGACTAACAAGAAAACGAAACCTTCATAGATTCTCTTTAGTAGAAGGGGCTGGAGAATCCAGAAAGAAAACAATCAAAGCGGAAAGAAAACATGTCGACAAAGACATCAAGAAAATATGAGGGAAGAGCAGTTTTTGTCGTTAATTATGTGTTTACTTCCGTATCTTGTTGGTGCGCTCAGCAGAAAATTAATGAAGAGCACAAACCAGAATAAAGTACAAAGAAAAACAAAACAGAATGAAGATTTACAGCTGGCATACAGTAAGAAAAGACATCACTAGCAGCCATGTCCGGGTAGGAAACTCTCCTGGTTACTCATAAAAATGATATAATGCAACGGTTCTCAAATGGTGGATTATTGAACCACACACATTTGTATTCGCGAACCGGTTGTTGTCAATTTCGCTGTGTGAACATTGAATTAAGAATCGATATCATAGCACTCGAAAGACTCACGTAAACGCTGCGTCCCCATCTTCAGCAACAAGTGAAGAGTTCCAATTCCGATGGTACCAGTCACTTTCTGATTGTACATCTGTCTCGCCTTTCCCTTGAGTGTTGAGCGTCAGCCTGATCCCCTGGTAACTCCCCGCAGCGCCATTCTCCTCAGACCATAATGATCTTTTTGTGCCTCCGCACTGTCCGCTCGCTCCAAAAAGGTCCTCACAACACCTAGCTTGTCATACATCATTTCCCACCCATGTGGTGCAAAACCAGCCAGTCTATCTGCCTGCTCCATTATCTGGAGAGATTATGCAAAGAACGCTTACTACCCGGGACCTCTGAAGCGTTGCTTGCCATGACTGTCTCCACCTTTCCTAAGATACTCGGTGAGCCAGCTACAGTTACGACATGTATGTAAAGCTAATTCTTAGTCTAGCAGAAAGCAGCAGTGACTGCCTCCACTTCGATTCTCAAACTAGATCTTGTGATACCATATGCCAGACTTTGCTTCACTAAACGACGCCCATTCGCTTTTGATATGAACCCCAATTCATTTCACGTTATCATGAAAGGATGTCAAACCAAACGGAAGGTAGAAAAATTGAGCTTTACAGTATCAAAAACACAAGTGAACGATGCGGCTTGAAAGGATTCATTAGCACACACATTAACCTACGCTTAACTGGTGTATCTCTGATAGAAGTCACCTTTCTGCCTGGCCAGTTGAATGACTGGTCTTTGTTTTAATTGTTTTTTATTTGTGCACTCTGCCCAAATTGAAGATTAGCTACACTACACGACTATCGTCTTTGAGAAGTGTTACCCGTTGAGGTGAAAGTCTTTTCACGGTGTGCTTCTCGTGCTAGTGTCTTGCTCACTTGTTTCCGGAGTTCCGTGTTGGGTGAGAAAAGAATAGATCCACAATAGTCGAAACGTTGTAGAAGGGGACTGCTGAGTTCGGGTGTGTTTTGCCAAATGGCGCAGACATCAGTGACTGCACGTACAGCACAATATAAGGTATCATCCGCCCTCGTAAGGCTGGGTCGACCTGAAAGACAGGGTCACTTGTGAAAAGGAAAGTAAAGAACTCCTCTTCACGTCTTCAGGCTATTGGGCATATAGGGCTAGACCTGTATTTTATATACCAGTCGGCACTCGGTGGGGGAACATGGCTGACATCACGCCGACCACCTTTACTTCCCAGGACTCCACGTGGTACACATTCAAGGCTGGCTCGACCTGGGAGACAAGATCACTTTTGAACACACACACATACACACACACACACATACACACACACACACACACATACAGTCCGGCTCCGTCAGGATCCCAAACCGCGACCCTCAGATCCGCAGGGCGAGCGTCTAGCCGACCCACCACGGCGGCTCCCTAAAGTCATTTTAGGAGAGAGAGAGAGAGAGAGAGAGAGAGAGAGAGAGAGAGAGAGAGAGCAAACGGGTTTATAGGAATTAAAACTCATTACGTTCAGGTCCGCAGGCCACCGTCTAGCCACTACACCAAGACTGCCCCTCCCCTCTCCAAATGAGAACTTGAAATTGCATCGACATCATCACCAAGTTCTGACTAGGCGTGGGCGATGATGTCTCTCCACAATCTGCGACCTTCAACTGCATTTATCACATTTCCTATGCTGACCACCTCCATGCCATAACATAATTTTGCTCTCGTTGATTTCTTCTGTCTGTCTATCCATACATCTTTCCAGTGGTCACAACAGGTTCCAGTTTCCTTTTCTCACAACATCCCCCCCCCCCCACCTTTCCAATGGTGACTGTCTCTTTCTGTTTATACCAGGGTGTCCCATAAATAGGAACCCCCATTTCGGTGAGTGTTCTTTACTGCTGAAGAACACGTATGAGAACACCTTATAGGGTTGCGTTAGCGCAGTCAGTATGAGACTCGCTTTCAAATCCGGCTGCGACTCGCTACCGCCCTATATTGGTGTTCGAAACCGGGCGGTTCCCGGGGTTCACCCAGCCTCTAGGAAATGGGTACCAGTGTAAACACTCTGGGGTAAATCGAGGAACGTCGCTGCAGCTACGGAGTTGCGTGCGGACGGCGACACAGGCAGACAGTTACTTATCAGCTGTCTGAACTAGTGGCAGAGCCCTAATGGTTTTCAACGGTGTGCAATGACGCTGGTTCACATCTCCCGACTTTACCTTTACCTTAACGTATAAGAACAGCACACAACTTCAGGTCAAAAGACTTGTCGCCAGACATGAGTACTAAACAGGCAGCCACAGAAGAATAGTAAACCAACCCAAAACTGCTGTTACCAGTCAGCCCTCGCTGAGGGATTTACTGAAGATGGGATCTGAGCTCTTATGGACTTGTCTATGTGTAATGGCGACTACCTGTCGATTAACAAACTAAATGACTGACTAGCTAACGGACAGACTGACAAATAACCAACCAAATAACTAACTAACTTTCCAGCATATAAATGCAGCTGGAGCTATGCTTGTAAAGGCGTTGGTGGTGTGTTTATTTGTCCTATACTGGAGCTCGGTGCAACAAGCTAACGCCAT